ACATATATATATATATATACTCGGTACCAGGGGTAAATAATGACAGATCTGCCATTATTTACCTGTCAATATCGTACCTGATAGCAGTACATATATACATACATATATACATATACATACATATATATATACACATACATATACATACATACATACACATACATATACATACATAATTATATACATATATATGTAAGATATACATGTACATGTAGCCTACATACATATATACATATACATACATATATATATACACATATATATATATATATATATATACATACATATACATACATAAAGTGTGTGTGTTTACGTGTATGCGTGTCTGTGTGTTTGTGCGTGCGTGCGTGCGTGCGCGCGTGCGCGCGTGCGTGTGTGCGTTCGGGCGTGCGTGCATGTGTGTGTGTGTTTGTAGAGAGAGAGAGAGTGAGAGAGAGAGAGAGATAACTTGAGAATAACGTACGCATGCATCACTCTCTCCCAAATTCTCTGTGTCGGGTATGGTTGGCCATCGTACTCAGAAATAATTATTTTCACAGCGGTAGAAATAATTCCACTGCGGGTCCTTTTACCCAATCAGAGGCCCTGATACAGATAATTTAACCACGGTAAAAATAATTCAACCGGTTAAATTACGTTAACAAGGCCTCTGATTGGGTAAAAAGGCCATAATTTAATCGTGGTTAAATTAGTTCTGCTGCGGTAGAAATTATTTATCCGAGGTTAAATTATCTATAACAAGGCCCCTGATTCAGTAAAAAGGACCATAAATTAATCGTAGTAAATTATAGCTCTTTTACCCAATCAGAGGCCTTAGCCTGGCAGATATGTGAATGAATTGTGATTTTTATGATACAAGAATGAGAGCTTTGGCACACGGTTAGAGCATGCCCTAAGGAAGATTTTTGGCTATAGGTCCATCGCATCTTTGTCCCATGGCAACAATGGCGGCCATTTTTAAAGATGGCCGTCATTCAAATCCATTATCCTTCATTTTCAGCTAATATTCAACATAGAAACATGATCTTGGTGCCTAAACTAACATTATCGGGGTCAAGGAAAACATTGCAATCAAAATCATTATCAGTCGGTGGCCGCCATTCAAATCCATTATCATTTAATATTTCAGCTAAAATTCAACATAGAAACATGATCTTTGTGTCTAAACCAACATTATCGGGGTCAATGAATCCAGTGCAATCAAAACCATTATCGGTCAGTGGCCGCCAACTTGAATTTCAAATGACCGCCATTCAAATCCATTATCCAATTCAATTTATTTCAATGCATTTCAATCACTTTATTTACACCTGACAATTACATTTTAAAGGTATCATATTGGTTCAACAAATTAATTAACAAAGCTAATAAATTGAAAGAGTTGTGAAGAGTCACAAGAGCTTGTGACCACACATAACCTGCTTAATATACACTGCCAGTACTAGCACATCCGTGTCAACTGTACGTATTGACACCTTGATATACCCTTCCTTCACAGCATCTGCTAGGTGCAGTAGGATGCGGGTATCAGCCACCTCATGTGTGCATGGTGCAATACCTGATATATCTCGAAGCTGAGTATACAGGACGTCAGCATGATTGGTGCTGATTATTTGTTTGTCAGTGTCAACGACTGTCACACTAGATGCCAGGAAGGAGAACAGTTCAGCCTTGTTGTTGTTGATTGTCAGAAACTCCGGCCAGTTTTCAGGAATGGCACTGGATTGCTCAACGCGTCTACGAATTCCCTTCCCTCTCTTGCTGCGTTGTTCGGCCTTCAGACTTTCAGGGAGATATTCATCCCACACGACATCCACTCTTCTGACATGCTGACATGACCTGTATGGTGAAAACACGTGCTGCGCGTAATCGGATAATATCTTAGCAGCACCATTTCGTAGCATGTTTACGAGAGCAGCCCCATCAAAGATGATGACCATACTGTTATGTGGGATTGTATGCATTATATTGTGAAGGAACCAGGTCCCCCAAACAGCCCACCAAGTCTGACTTGGTACCAGTTCTCAACTTGCCCATTTGCGACAATACTGGTGGACACGCCTGGTTTTCATGCTCAAATAACTCCTCCTTATTTCCATCACGTATCTGCGATGCAATGTACAGCCTAGAGAACAGGGATGAGAGCTGTTGTTGGGACCTGGACTTCTCTCGGACTGGAGGCCGGCTGAATAGAGGGAGGTCGTTCATCCTGATGGGATCTCTGATGGGCTTCGTCTGGTTGACAAGGCGCTCGCTGATAAAGGTGTCATATTGGTCCTGTCCAGGTTTATCAATCTGGTTCACAGTATCGATGACTGCTGCATCTGCAACGTCTTTGGTATCCAGTACGAGAAGATCTACATTGCAAATATATTATTTGCAAATGCCATCTGTGCATGTTTTGTTTGCTCGTGGTGCCGGGTGTTAGTCTCCTTTCTCTTCTCAGTGGAAACCCCAAACTCTCCAATCACACGTGCCATCTCGGGACCACACACCATCCAACGTCGCGGAGCTGCAGGGTTCTCTGTCAGGCCCACGGCACCACCCAGGGGCGGATCCAGGGGGTGACTAGGGTGACTAGTTACCCCCCCCCCATTTTTGGGAAGTGGGAACACGTGATGCCGCTCCCATCAGCCTTTCAAAGTGAGCTGTAGAGGTGGATGAATTACTGGAAGCGGCAATTGCCTAATATATCCGCAAGCTTAGTAACAAGCCTTATGTCCTTACATGCAAACGCTACCTTCTATCCCAACGTACGAAAACTACTCAAGATTCTGGCCGTGTTGCCAGTGGGGAGCGTAGAAGCAGAGAGATAGTTTTCGTGTTTAAGGCGTATCCACACCTGGCTCCGGAATAGGATGTCAACAGTGAAGCTGGCTGACTTAGCAGAAATCGCTATGCACGGACATGAGTTCTCAGTCTCAAAGGCGGACATTTGCAAACGATACATTGATCTATACCCTCGTCGAATGATGGCATCTTCGTTGTTTGATGACCATTAACTCTTTACATTGAAATGCCCGGGCGGGATAGAATCACATTTGTCATCTTTTTTTAATAAAAAATATTTTTTAAATAATTAAAGATATTAAATAATTCGTTGCTTCTGGTCAGTCAGCAAATGACATTATAGGTTAGCCACGATTACTAGTGTAACTGTGGGTGTCGACTGTGCTTAGCCTACGTAATTTTACTAAAGCGGCATCTAAAAGTGAACTGCAGCCTACCCAAATATGATCATACAAACTTTAGCGGCAATCAATTGTATGACTAGTAGCATGGGCGCCCCCATAATTTTGCTGATCATGACTTTTCATTGGATTGCAATAAAACACTATAAATTTAGCTATAAGTACTCGGTGGATCTCGGCATCCAAACTTGGGAAAACGCATCTCCCTGTACCTAATTCTGAAAAATTTCCTGTAAGATTACCCTTTTGAAAAAAAATTCTATGTTTTAACAAGATGTAATTTTTAAAAATGAGCACAGGAATTTAGCATTTGTTGACTGTATTTCTTGCAGAAACAGATTCTATGGCATCAATATGGTGGCTAAAATCCGGAAAAAGGCTTCTCCGTGCATCTAATTTCGGTGCTCGCTGTGCTTGGACACAAAAATATAAAAAATCACCCCCCTATAAAAAAAAATCTAGATCCGCTACTGCCACCGTCACCTTTCACAGAGGCATTGTTCTGCTCGTGGGTCTGGTCAATGGCAATAGCAGAGAAGCTGCGTGTAGTCTTTTTCACAGCAAGGTTTCTTTTCAGAAAACTGGCGGTGTACATCAGGATGAGTATCTTTCAGCATAATTATGTCACGCACATGGACTGGTATCCGTCTGGCATAGTTGGTGTGTTCCAAGGCGAAGAACCAAGGCACGATCTTGGTCAAGGGATCTATATAGAGTAGGACGTCGGCCTCCCTTATTGATCGCACGTAGATCATCACCTCTATCTCCAGCCACAGCTCTTTCAGTGCACCAATTTTCCAGGGACATCAGATCATTTCCCTCGTCCAGGTCATTGCTGTACTCAGTGTAGGCCTTTTGTAGATAAATGGGCTGTTGGCTGTGACTTGATGAGCGCGTCTGGTGCGTGTCACATGGGAGGCTTTCAGAAAGGAATCTTCTGTCCCAGGAGTAGCTACTCCAGCTTGTACAAGTGCTCCATTCCAGCCGCTTCCCTCCAGGAAGTCGCCAAGTATTTTGAGAAGCCCACCAAACATACCTGTGTCACATGTAATTTAATCGCGGTTGAATTATGTGTAGAAAGGCCTCTGACACTCACTCACACACACACACACACACACACACACCACAACACACACCACACCACCACAGCACACTCACACACAGCACCACCACACGCACACACACAGTCACACACACCACACACACACACCCAACACACACACACACACGACACACACAAACACAACCCCCACCCACTAACACACACACACACACACACCAACACACTTCACACACACACACACAACACACACACACAACACACTCAACGCACACACACACACACCACACAACAACACCAACACACACACACTCACAGCACACACACACAACACACCACACACACTCCACACACCACACACACACTACACACACACACACACACACAACCCACACACCACACACACACACACACACACACGCACACACCACACACATATCACGCGCGCGCGCGCGCGCGCGATACACACACACCATATATATAATATATTATTTATTTAAATATAGAAATATAATATTTAATAATATTTAAATATACAATAATATGCAAATATTTAATAGAAATACATAAAATATAAAAATAATTTATCCGCGGTTAAATTATTTTAGCCGCGGTGAAAATAATTATTTCTGAGTACTGACGCCAACGAGGACGTGACTGTCTTGGTCGCGTGTGAACGGCACAAAGCGCGTGTGGGAAGCGTGCTTTTATGCATGCGCGCGGGTGTCATTAATTGTCGCTATAATCTAGTTTCATTGCACTCGCTCTCTGTTTAATTATATTTGTTTAAACTAAATGTGGTCTGATAGTCGAAGTTGCCACATCCAGACCATGTTATTCCAGGCCCAATGATTATGGTATCAGAAGTCGAGTACGCCATTAGGCCATTGCGCTGTTTAAAGCAAACCGAGCACAATATCGGATCGTGCTACTGCAGTCCAGGATGCTTCCAGTTGTTTCGTGCCAGCGCCCTAATGGCACCCATACGTCCATCAGGCGATACGCCATGCAAAGGCGCGTGAAACCGCGCGACTACATTCAGTTCTGATAAGGTATGCAGACACACCATGAGCAATGCAAGCAATCTTGGGAAAAATTATTCTGAAATTGTGGCTTTTTTAAAGGCAATTTAACATTTATATTTAGATTTAACACATATTAGTTTGTACGCGCTAATCGGCCGTAGCCCTAAAGCAATTCGCTAGAAGGGAATAACGATAATAATAATGATATGTGTGATCATGTGTGTGTGTGTGTGTGTGTGTGTGTGTGTGCTGTGTGTGTGATGTTTGTGTGTCGTGTGTGTGTGTGTGTGTGTGTGTGTGTGTGTGTGTGTTGTGTGTGTGGCTGCGTGCGTGCAGTGGCGTGTGTGGGCGTGCGCTGCGCATGCGTCGCTGTTGCGTGCGTGCGTGCGTGAGCGCTGGCCGTGTCTCGTGGCGTGTGTGTATGGGTCTTCATACGAATCTCTCACTTTGCCAATCATACGGTGAATAATCGTGCGATAAACCCCCGTTCGCGCATGCCCAATATCTTTTCATTAATATAGTGCTATCTTTACATTTTGTTCTTTCAGTAGAGAATTTATTATATCTTACCTGAATAATTAATTACAAGGTACATTATTCTCAACTAACATGACACTGTTGAAATATAATCAGCCAAGAGATGGCGTTATGTGTTCTGCAAGGCAAATCTTAATTAAGCAGGCCTTTATCAAATGAATTAAATAGTATCCTGTGGATATTTTATGTTTAACCTTGGAGTAATCATTCTGATCATCGGAATGATTGCTCCAATGTTGAACACAGAGAGTTCACTCTTTCTATTAGTTTAACATAAAATAATCTCGATTCTAATATCGCAATTTAACAATCATAATTAAGTTGCTTGGTCGTATCAAATTTCACAGTAGCATAGCGAGAGACCCGTAATCGTGCATACTTAGTATCTACCAAATAAAGTAATACTATTCTAATATTTTGTTCTTGAAGTAGACAGCATATCTTTGCTGCCGTATATTGATGTGAAAAGTAATCTGACTTTAATAATTGCAAGGTGCCCAGTATTCCTGGTTGATGTAACACTATTAAAATATAATCAGCCAATAGATGGCGGTATGTGTTCCGTGAGACATGCAAATCTATGCAGCCTTTTTCATATGAATTAAATAACATTTAATAATATTTTTAATTTAAAGTGAATTTCTACTATTAGGTTGACATAAAATTACTTTCATCTTTATATCATAATTTAACCAAGCATATCGAAAGACGCGTGATTCAGTATTTGCCAAATGAAATGGTACCATTTAAAAAAATGATATTGAATTGATTGAATAATTGATTGAAAATTATATTTAAAAAAATAAATTCCGATCGCTCACTTTCACCACTATAATGTGATTATTTTTCCTAACACCATATAATATGTTAGGTCGTGGAAGGTTTAATGAATAGCAGCATAATTATTACACATATTTCATTGTTATTTCCATTTATTAGACCTTTATTTTATTTTCAACAAAGATATTACTTGGTAAGCCGGACATGGACAGCCCGTCCCTTGCCTCAAGAGCCTACGGCCCTGCTTATATTACACCAATCGCCATCTCCACATCCTCATTGATATTGATTACATGCTGATGTATATAATTCCTTAATAATATAACGGCAGGCCGAAATCTCAATGATTTTGGGTTTCACGGGACCGCTGTCGTTCAAATTAGCAAATCGCTCTATCCTTCTTAGCAGTAAAGCACGAAATGCATTATCGCAATATCGCAATAGTACCGACCTACACGATATTAGAGCGCGTATTTCCGCACAGGCGAAGATAGGTGGCTCTGCACGCTGCTACTGCAGCAGGGATTCAGAGTGGAGTACTCAGCAGCCGCCGACGCGCTTACGTATTCACCCGAAGGATTCTTCGAGTTCTACAACCAGCGTCGCCGATGGACGCCCTCGACTATGGCCAACGTTCTAGATCTACTCGGAGGTACAGTCTCTTAATCATCACAGCAGCGTAAGAAAAAAAAAATTTTAAATACGTAAGACAAAGCTGCCAATTATTGCATTGTAATTAGGATATATAAACCTATCTTACTCATTCCGTAAATTTTATTGGGACATTTTCTACTTATATACCAAACATGTGAGGACTGAGATTAGTAAAATTTTACACGCTAAATATATTTCTTATGATTACTGCTTTATGATGCATGTTAAAATTGTGAAGTCATCTTACGTTAATGCGACTGTGCCACATTGTCCTGTATTTCAACAGAATCGCGCTGCGTTCATATATTATACTTCGTGAGCAGCATCGGCTGGAATCCGCTGTTGCTAAGCAATCATGTTCTTTAAGATGCAAGCAACACGGTGAAGAAGAACACGACAGTGTCGTGGCTATACATGGTATACCAGGCCGTGCTGTTCGGCACCTCTATAGTTGGACCGGGAACTGCGTTCCTAATGATATCCGGTGCTCTCGACGCTGTACTACCAGGGGTAAGAAACAGAGGCCATGCAATAATTGTGAGAACGACATTACTTTTAATACTACCTTTAATCTCTTTACGTCCTAACCACTCATGTACGCTGACGCTTCTATCTGATTATTTCCGACAATTTAATTATCATATTAATGATAAATGTGTTATCTTGATAATCTCCACCTCTGTTATAAATACCTAAAATTAATGGGAATATATCGCTGTTATTGTTATGAAAAGATTTGTATTTCAATTGCTCTAATATGTAGGAGCCAATTCATGCAGATATCACAACATATCTGTGATTATATTATCCTGTATGCGAAATAGAATATTTGTGCTTACTTTTCAGACGGAAGACAATCCGAACAGCATATATTGGTTCGTATTCCTAAATTTAGTGCCTGTGATGCTGTTCGTCATTGTCTGCTTAGTTGCTGAGTCCAGTATACAGGTAACACTCCCTACCTTCGGTGTCGATGTGGTAATTGATATTCTTATACGCATACAGTTTTTTTTGCATCATTACAAAATCACAAGTTTCTCGTATATAATACTTGTAACTAGCAACTTAATTTCCATTCAATGTCTACTGGCAGTCTGCATTGTAGCGTGCTAATATTCAATGCTAGGGAAGACACACTCATTAGCATGATAATAATGGCCCACTGCCGGCATGATTCAGCTCAAGCTTGCTGGAATTCTCACCGGAATCTACAGCCTATTGATGATGATAGTCGTTGTCGGTACCGTGGTGCAAATAGCCGAACAGGGAGCCAACTCGCCCAGTGCCGTCTTCATGTGGTTGGTGCTTGGTGCTTTCGGAGGAGCCGCCATATTACACCCGAAAGAATTTTTCTGCATATTACATATAGTGAGGACATAGAGGATCTCCAACCGTTCGCAATAACTCGTCATAAACTCATTATCATTTACGCAACAGTAATTCATTGCAGCAATGCAAAATTGTTAAACAATACATAAATATACAATGGAAATGACATTTTTTTCTCTTTCTGTTCACCATTTTCTCTCTATCTTAATTTGCCTCTTACTGTCGAGCTCTCTTCCCTTCTACACAATAAATATTAGAGTAAATATAATTGTATGCATGATAAACAACGCTATGTTTCTGTTCTCACAAGCTGCTGTATTTCCTGGCCGTGCCGTCGACCTTCATCTTCCTTACAATCTACTCTCTGTGCAACCTGCACGTGATCAGTTGGGGGACGCGAGAAACCGAAAAAGAGAAGACGAAAGAGCAACTACTTGAAGAAAAAGAACGCCAAGAGAAGATCAAAAAGGCCAAAGAAGACAACAGCTGGCTAGGTGCGTAGCTGTAAATACGCGTCGTTTTGTAGCTGGAAGCAGAGATTAGGAATTGAACAATAATTTTCGGGCATGTTCAAAGAGCGTCCGCGTGTAATAATTGAACTATCGTGCACTAGTGAGCACATGACCATGTAACCAATGTCGTTGCGCTCGATCACACTATTCCGGACACAATTTGAGGGTTGATTTAAATTGACGTGGGTATATACCGAATCGTATTGGTACATATAGAATATCTTTTGATGTAAATAATGTATTATTATTCACTTCTTCACAAAAGGAATAACATTAACTGGGTATTTATAGACTACTTAGGAATATCCCGCACGACAAAGAAGAACATGGATGCTATGTTTACGATGGGCTGTCACACGATTTGCCGTTGTATGTGCTGCTTGCACCCCGTTCAACCTAATGCATCGCCAGAGAGAATGCAGTTTTTGGCTAAAGTGGGTCAGTCTACAGGTAGATAAATTCACGACGTTATAATTTGTTTTCTTCAAATGTGTTTCAATCGATGTTCCTCATACTTTAGGGATTTTCCCACCTTTAATAGTAAAATTCTCTATGTTCGATTATTATTTATATTGAAACCATGGACACGAATATGAAAGAAATGATGGTGAAGATTGACATACCTGTTATAACTTCCGCACCTCCCCAACCAAGTCCAAGAGATATTCCTGTGATATCTGAGCCTTCGACTGATGCAGATAAGACGAGCCTTTCCACGAATCCTGGTTGGTATATGCTATTTTTCGTATAATTATGATGCTCTCCCCCATACCGTCGACGAATCACAGATATACAACTCTGTAGTCCTGAACAGCGTCCGTTTACCTTAAAATCCTTCATATCTGAAATAGCACATATACAAACATCTATGTGGAAATGAATCAGTAAACTAAATTCGTTGTGTTTTAGTTGCACAGCGATTTACACAGGCGCCAAAATAGGGAGGCGTATGATAAGCCGTATGTCGTCACATAAAAAAGTAAAAACTAGCATAGATTCAGAGATTGTATTTTGTTGCAAGAAGCCGTGTATTTTGTATTGGAACGTATATAATACGATAATCTAGACTCTAGACAATGTACGAGCGGCAAATTATATTTACAAATTATTTTTCGTCGTTAGACAACAATATTGTTCAACGCGATGACTCAAAGAACCCATACTGGCTGGAGGATGAACATCTGCACAACGGAACCGTTCACTTTCTCAGTGAAGATGAGCTCGCCTTCTGGACAGACCTCATCGAAAAATACTTGCATCCGTTACAAGAAGACAAGATACACAAGGAACAGGTAACGCGACCCTGCTGAGTGCTCTACTATGCAACTATGCAATACCTGCACACGACAATTTTCTTCAGCAGTCGATATGTTTGTTTATTCTGTTTAACATGCGTTGCTGTTTTTGTGTGCGAGTGTGGCAGAGTGTGTCCGCCGCTGGGGCTTGGCTATCCAGCTACAAAATCGACGTTATCCGGGTTTCCTTAGCCTAGACTACTGGCGAAGGCGACTGTTCGTACTGCGCCATGCGCGCGTGCAATGCTCTTTAGTATGCCCCCGAGTATAATATGTTATTACACGGCCATGTCAGATTTATGGACCCTGGCGAAGAATTCGCGGCCAGTGAGCATGGCTCGCCAATTCGAGTTAGCCAAGTATAGCTCTCTACGCCGATTATTTTACTGGGTTTTCGTACCCAATCGCACACAGCTCGATCTGCAGAAATCCTGTAATTATGTACATAATGAGATGAGCATATCCAGTCATGTGGCGAGATTCCTGTCGAGCTCGGTCCTTGACTGTTGTTGGTTTACATTTGTTAAACATGCTACTAGGGCTACATTGTCCTCGCCAATTCGTTATTTACTGCCTATATACTATATATACTATGCTATATATACTACTGCAAGACGTTGGCTAGGTTAGTCGTTTGTTTATGGTTAGTAAAACATGCGTGCAGCGATATGCATGGCGCGTCAACATGGCATTTAGACTATAATTGTAAATAACACTGGTAGGAAAAATACATAAATAAATTTCTTTTTCAAGCTTGATTGTACGTTTGAATTTTGTAAACGTGAATCATTGTTTTGTTTCTGCTTTACCTTTACAGATCGCAAAAGACTTGAAAGAGCTGAGAAACAACAGCGTACTGGGGTTTTTAATACTGAACGGTCTTTTCGTCAGCATTGTCTTCTTTCTACAAATCAACCCATCAACTCACATTTCATGGCCATTTAATGAAGCCCAGTCACTCGACCCGATCGGACTTATTTTCATGGTGTTCTACATAGTACTGCTGCTGCTGCAGTTCATCGCCATGTTGTTCCACAGAATGGGCACTTTTATGCACATCTTACACACTAAAAACACTGTAGTCAAAATATAGTAGTCAATTAAATTGAACTAGTACAATCATTAAATTATTTGACTAGCATAATAATTAAATATGGTCTAAAACAGTAGTTTGACTATTTGTTTTAATCAAAAATATTTGACCAGCCAAATAGTCCGTATTTCCGGCTGCCCAGCAACAGTGCTGGTAAAAAAACTATAGCACGTTTGAAGCTAACGGCATTTGTTCAGCGGTCAGGTTTTCCTTCCCAAACTTTACTCAGCAGTCAACGGATCCAAGAAACTCGCCACATCATACCAACTGCAATACGAATGGGCCATGGCAGCAAGATGGCAGTCATCAATAGGCCTATACCCGTTCAGACCTGACCCCGGACACTCTTCTCTCTGGTAGCAGGACCGTCACCCGCACCCACACCCTCACCGACAACCTCTCCGGCACCCTCACCGACAACCTTTCAGTCACCCTCACCGACCCGAGTCACAGGATATGTCTGAGATTAAAATGATGTTAAAATCCGCAATAGCCTGTAATATAATTATGTTCCCGTAAATATGATTATAATTACTATTATATATATTAATATTATATATTTATATTATTTATATATATATATATAATATATAATTATTATAGTGAATATTATATTCAGTTAACGTGCGCTGTAGAAACTAATAGTAACACCTTCTTTCTCTCTTTTAAATGTTCAATGAGAGGAAGTTTTTATAAAAAATATTTCATGATGAAACATTAGTATAATCTCAAACTAATAATCACTAGATAAGCACTTACATAACGAATGTAAATAATCTGGATGCCTAACTACAAAAAGACTCACATGTGTTTTTGACAAAGGAAATTTTTTTATTATACTTGTTAGGTAGCATCATCATGCCTAGTTGTAATACGAAGTGAACAGCAACGTCAATATTATCAAATCTATCATTAACATATTGGAACATACATGGTGGTCTCGAGAAAAATTTCAAGATTCAGATTTTGTTAGATTAACTAGTAAAATTCGACATAATAGGACTTAGCGAAACATGGTTTTCCAAAGATTCAAAGACTGCATGAGATTCCTGGCTATATAGCTCTCCACAAACCCCGCCCCCGAAACAAGAAAAACGTGAACAATCACGGTGGTTTAATTATGTATTATCATCAAAAACTGAAACCAGTTGCAAAATTCTTACACTGTGAAAGAGATAACCTATGCTGGCTTTAAATATTATCAAAAACAAACATGGCAAAATCTTAACCTATTTTCATATGCTTTGGTTATATTCCACCAGCTGACTCTAAATATAGTGAGGATACTTATGAGATTATTGAAGAGGAAATTATTAAATATTCCAAGTTGGGACAAATTATTCGCGCAGGTGATCTAAATGCCCGCACAGGTAACTTATACGTGACACAGTCCAGTTTGGTGATGACCATAACGCAGACAATCCTTATGCTTAGAAGAAAAAATCGATCTTCCTAACCGGAATAATCAGGACAACAAGCAAAATACATATGGCCAAAAACGAATAGACGACTAATTGACATGTTTTCAATGTAATTTAGTCATCACAAATGGGAGAGTGCTTGGCAACTCTCAGGGCTATTATACATACTTCGGTTCAAGGGGGCAGAGTGCCATAGACTATTTTATAGTAAGCCCCACAATCTTCACCCTCATTAAATATCAGTGTATCCACAATATAAATGTAAAAAAATTACGTATAAATATCAATGTCAATACGGAAACTTGTTCTGTTAAATAACCATAATGCAACAATGTCTGTATTGAAAGATGCAGTAACAACATATAAATGGGACTCAATATCAAAAAATAGTTTCCTGCATGAGCACCTTCGCAATTGAGAACATATTACATAACAAACCGATTGATCCCAATTAACTGTGAACTGTTAATTGTAATCGTGCTGAATTAATTTGTGAAAAGATCACACGCACACACACGTACGCGCGCACGCATACTCCTTTCATAAACTTTAGTTGTATGTTTGTTGCACTTGATTAGGATACGAACCCAGACAAGGGATGTGTGACTCATATTATATAGATGATACCAAGCATGCGTGAACACATTCACACACGTTTGAAAAGTTTTTATTAAAGTGAAACACAGGGATGGATACTGTTGATATCAACGTAATATTACGTAAATATGCACTCTCTAATTTAAATATATGCTAAGCAATTATAATTCTTGCGACAGATAATGAGCTTGCGCGAGTACAAACTGATCTTGCCCTAGCCAACAGTATACGGATAATTGGAAGATATCTTGACTACATATAATAGCCCCTCCCACTACAAGGCATATGTTTGTCGTAAATAAGGACGGGATCTTGTTTTACCCTGATTATCCCTCAGATTCCCCGTATTCCATCAGCACATCGTTCTATCAGGATTGGTTAATATATTATACTGAATGTTATTTCACGGACCTAGCCGAGTAATATACAGTACCGTAGTTTTTAGTTGTAATCAGAAGTAGATAATAGGGAAAATTTCGATTTAAATTTCTAAATTCCCTATTATCTACTTCTGTTATGATAATGTCCGCTGCACCGATCAGCAGATAATAGGGCGCAATAAAGCCGAGCGCCGAAATAAGGTAATAAAAAGTGAAACCTTATGTTTCGCTGTGAGAAAGAGAGTTTTCACATCAAAATACTCCTGAATGCGCTATATTTTAAACTAGCCTGGTACCCGGCGTTGCTCGGGGAAAAACACTTAGGAACAACTTTTAAGAGCAAATCAGCCACATATATACTTACTTAATTCTAAAATATTTTCACCCCTCCCCCTTCACCCATCAGAAAGGAAAGAGAAGCGTACCACTGGATTCACAATCGAAACACTATCCAGCTACACGAACTCAATCTACGGGGTAGAGATTCCGGGATGGAGAGAAGTCAGTAATCACCTTCCCACCAGCATGGTATACACGCAAGGCTAATTCTCAGCCGACACTCTAGGGTAGCGGGTGGCTCGGTTTACCTTTTTATAACTTTTTTACTTAATTCTAAGGATAGATTCGTAGCAGAGAAACAAACAATAAGCAATATTCTGACAAAAACTGTTCGAACGATGCTATGATTCTGTGTAGTCAAAGCTTCTGGATGAACAACATTGTTATGAAATTGCGCCAATTTATTATGAATATGCCTCTCTGGTTTTGCAAGCCTCGACTCGCCTTTTAAATACACAATAACTAAACTAAACTAAATACATAGGTCAATAAACTAAACCCGCCAATATAGCACGGTATCAGTTCAGGGTCACTTTCATCGTAAAATAATGAGCAGATTTTAGAAAGTAAATTTTTCTCCAAACGTATGGATATCACCTCATTTTAAGCAAATTAGTTGGTCACTTTGGCAGAGTTCTGCACCAGTAAAGTCACCATAGATCACATTATCAAAAAGATGAATAGCACCCGATTTTAACAAACTTAATTCTTTATACCATGTTATACATTATATCCGAATGTATACACAGACAAATTACAATTTAAAAAATACAAATGAACGAAAATGAACCACTAAAAGTGTGTGTTGTGCTGCTTTTGGGACTCAACTGACAACTGAGTGCATAATAAAAGAAAATGTATAAATTTGGCATAATTTAACCTGGTATTAACAAAACGAGTTTTGGCTTCTGTCCGCTTGATGGCTATTCTACTTTTTTGACATCACCCCACTGCTAAAATTATCGCCATTATCGCCTAAATAATTAATCATTATCGCCTAATATCCCCTATTATTCCCTAATTATTGCCTATTTATCGTCATTATATCTATAAATATGGGTGGATTTAACAAATATGGATAAGCCTATGTTGGTGTCCGACTGTCCGACACACGGGCTATACACTGGGATCGGTGGCGTGGGCTTGATGCTCACCGCGGCGAAGATTACCGCGTCAGAAATTGGCCTCTCCTCTCTTATAACTGGAATGATGATGGTATTAACAAAGTTTTGGCTTCTGTCCGCTTGGTGGCTATATTCGCGGGAATTCGGCTGTTCTACTTTTTTGACATCACCCACTGCTAAAATTATCGCTCGTATTAAGGCCTATTTATCGTCATTATATCTATAAATATGGGTGGATTTAACAAATATGGATAAGCCTATGTTGGTGTCCGACACACGGGCTATACACTGAGATCGGTGGCGTGGGCTTGATGCTCACCGCGGCGAAGATTACCGCGTCAGAAATCGGCCTCTCCTCTCTGGAATGATGATATATATATATTTATAGGGATATAGTGATATCAAGAGTAAGATAATATAGGATACTATACTATAATATAGTATATATTATATTAAGATAATATAGGATCCTGATATTATCTTACTCCTGGTGATATTATTATAGCTGGAATTATGCCAAATATGAACACCAGATGGTGGCACATGCGCCATAACAAAGTTGTATCGCATCCGGCCAATCGCTTCATTTGTTGTTGTTCTCCCCGCGTGCTACCAGTGGCAGTGGTGCTAACATTGTAAGTTACGTTTGGCCAACCGTCGTGTGCGAACAATTTGCTTAAACCGGCTTTGTGTCGAGTTGTATGAGTGTGCATAACCGTTGGATACCTTGCTTTATATGACTAGCTATTATTACACGTGTTCCGAGTCAAAGGAGTAATTAGTAGACAGAGATTTGAGGAAAAGTCTACCCAATTTCTGGCAAGTATAAAATTGTGACATTTGTCATTGTTGTGCTTTACTACTACTAGTGCTTCTACTACTAGTACTCGTCGTAATCTCGTCCTCATGCACTCTCCGGTTACCATAGCTCTAGTACTGTACGCGGGCTATAGTAGGCCTGCGCGGATACTACCAATGAGCAGGCATGCAGTATTGATAATGCATAGAGTTTACGGCAATGCACTCACTGTAGGCCTACACAGTGGTGTTTACGTTGCAGAATGATGATGCTAGTATAATATAGTATAAATATAGTATGATAGGTGGCATTCTGCGCTTGTCGCGTTTGACCGTGAGCGTGTGATATCATCATCGAAAAGTACATTAAAGGCATAATAAGCCCATTGATTATGCAATGTTGACGAATGCTAGAGTTAAATGTTCACGCAATAATGTGATTCTAATTGTTTCATGACAGGAACAGTGCAAATGAATGTAGCCCTGCTTGTGTAGCCCTTTGCTTCTGCTGCAGGGAATACAGCCCCCCACCCCCCCCTCCTTGTAGCAGGAGCAAACGTAGCTCTAGTACTATAGCCCGCTTACATTAACTGCCGCTGGCGGCGGTGCCAGCGGCAGTTAATGTAAGCGGCTATAGTACTAGAGCTAGAGCAAACGGGTAGAGCTACTATAAATGTCTGATTTTTATCATTGTAATTTTTTGTTTTGTACGTATTTCGTCCTGGCAAAATTACATCGGCAGATGCGCGCTTACTTAATTTGCAGTAACGTATACCAACTAGAACACTTACACATTGACAGGTTTTATTGATCTCTCTATTTAGCCAGGCATCCACCAATACTTGCGTGTCCAATTTACTAGTGTAATTCGGTCACAAGGAATTATATTCATGCTACATTCATAAATAATTTATATAGAATTATATCGTTTTATAGTACCAAGACGATTGGTCATTCTGGCGGAGCCAAGATGATAATAAATCTAGCTGAGTAGAATGAGACCAAAGAATATTGTGTGACCCAGCTTCTCAGAAAAGGGTTCGTAGGCATGGGCAGTGTCACGTCTTTTCTATTTTTTGCACATAATATTCAACCTATATATCATTGTTCTTTTCGACATGATTTCAACAGGTTGGTAGGGTTATGGGGTGATACTCCATTAGGTTTTTAATCAATTTGATATCAAAGTTGGGAACACTCCTAATGGAGTGGAGCCATGGTTATGGAAAACGAGGAATATGGACGTTATTTCCCATGTGCGTGCGAGATAATATTTCAGTAATTGCATGATTCAAACAAGCATGGATATATATATATATTCTAGGATCATGGATTCTAGTGCCTCGGTTGTAGCAGCCTTCTTATGTGAGCTCATCATTGTAGGTTTGGTAGATGAAACAAATTTAAGAAGGTTGACCAACATCAGACGATACAATTGGTAAAATAGTGATTCTGTGTAATAGTGTGTATTGACTTGATTCTTTATGATGCAAAAGGATCAAAAGTTACAATACAACGACAATGTGTAGAAAGGTTGTTGCTCAAAGTCTTAAGCTGTTAGGGCTATTAGGTTTCACACACTTTCAGCATGCTGGTGTTTCTACTTAGCACATGTATACGATAAAATCAAGAGCTAATATTTAATATGTGTATTACATGCACATGTATACATGTATTATTAGCTCTAGGTAAAATGTTTTTATGATCCAGTAAGTCAGCTAGCATACTGCTTTTATGTCGGTCTACCACCTATCTTCGTGAAATTCGATCGTCTCAGTCGGAGGCCGTCTGATTTTTCCTCTTTGTGCATTAGCGAGGATTGTCGCATGTTACCGTCATCACCATGCCGTCATAATTGATTTGCTTGAGTCTCTGATCCCGTGTCTTGTTTTCTTCTAAGTGTATTGGATTCACGAGCATTGTAGCTTTTATCGACACATGTTGAGTCCTTAGTTTTGGTTGTGAATCTCATTGTGATCGCGTTCATGCACTTGTTGGATCCAATCCTAGTTGTCCCAGAGGTATAAGCAAGCGGTCCCGACATGGAACCAGTCCAGCGCATTCCAAAAAAGCTTTGTTATAGATAATAGCAGCAGTTATGTCAATATTGCTGGTAGGCCCCCCTATAGCTGGTATCAAGAGCTAATAATACCTTTTATTATTAGCTCTTTCTGGTATATGGCCTACGTGAACGTTTGTGTTTTTCTCGCGAGTGCGTGTCTGTTTACATTAGCCCGCCGCCTTCAACAGAGTTTACGAACTACATGTATTTTATTGTAAAATATTACGCCTTATTTTCGCGTGAATTATTTTGAAAATGTGGAGACAGCGGGTAATTGTGCAGTAATATCACAATTCTCACAGCTCTTTGTAATGTTATATGCAGATATTACGAAATCATGTAACGAGGCATCTTCTCTATACGCATGGTACTCAATAGAAGCTGTTCAAAACATGGTGCACAAACGTGCACTTAAACTGACAGTGTGATATTCTAGCTACACCGCGTCACTTAACGTGTCATCTTTCAGTTTGTGGTGTTGGCTCTGGTTTTGAATCATATGCTATGGGGTACGCTTGTGCGTATACTGTACGAGCGTTCGTGCGTGCATGCACATGAGCATGTGTGTTCTGCACGTAAATAAAATATGTTGCAACGCGAAACGCATAATCTATCAGAAATTTTCTGTTAATTGCTTAGTGTCACGTATACATAGGTAGATGCCATGATCATTGAATTGGTCACAGTTTTAATATCCGGCGACTTACGACGTCTAACATTGATTTACCGAACTCTATCAACAATTTTCCAAAATAACAAACTAGACATATATATATCAAGAGTGCATAATAGAGATCTCTATTATGCACTCTTGATATATATATATATTATTGTATGATATCAGACATATCAGTTATAACGTGATATTATGTTTAGAGCTGAGCCATGCAGATTTCTGCATCTCGTACCCTTTCTCTCCGCACGTCCCATTATTTTAATTCGTCAGTATCAATGTCGATCATTATGACAGGGATATAAGGATAATATTTTTATTATATATTTTTTGATTTTGATGATATATTATGATTTATTCCCTATTATCTACTTCTGATAATATGGAGGCAAACAACACAGATTTATGCATTTTGTATCCCGTCTACTCCCGGCGCGTAATTGTACATACATACTATCAGGAGCGTATAATGACAAAATTTGTCATTATACGCTCCTGATACTATAGAGCTCATCAGTGCTGCTGCTTCTGTGTTGCACTCACGCGAGGAAACTAGAAGGCGAGTTTAACAGAAATCCATAGTACGCTCGTGGACTCTAGATATGTAATCGGAGTCGTTTGAAACTCGTTCGAAGACCTTATTCTTGGTCATGATTTGGCATAATTGCGTGATTGTACGTTTGTGTGGGAGTTTAATTGATTTTTTAAACAGTTCAATACTACTAGCCTCGTTGTACAGTATACAGTATACTATATATATATATATATATATATA